CACCTAAAGCCTGATCAGACTGACCTATCCAGGTTGCCAGCTGGAAGTAAGGGAGGGACCAATAGAGAATCTGGGTAAGGTGACAGTTCCAAATGCGGGTACTGGGGTTGTTGAGAACCTTACAAGAGCAGTGAGTACATAATGGGCAACTAATTAGAAAGGTTGTGCTTGAGATACAGATTAGGTTATAGCAGCACCCCAAAAGTTGGTTTGAGATATGAACCTGGTGGTGGCAGTACAACATGTACTAGTTAGATAAGAAGTTACCAAATATGCAGGTGAATACATGTGTAGGACATGGACCACTCTGTTAGGTTTACCTTGTGGATAGACTAGCTTTAGATGGTTAGTAAGTCCTAAGGTAGATGCAAAATCTACAGGTGTCGCAAAAGCTACAACCGAATAATAAGTTACACTTTGGTTAGATAGAAGTAACTGACAGTTAGGACCAAAGGGTTTAAATGGGTACCCCCTAGTTGGGGTACAGATATAGCAAATAGTGTAAAAACTTTGGGCGGCCTACTTAAATTAGGCACTCAAAAGGTACACGTGTAGCTTGATGTACCCTTGTTGTAATTGTATAATATTATAGCTACTTAATAAAAAGTCTCTGGCCAGAGAGATCACCTTAATACCAAATATATATATATATATATATATATATAAAGCAAATAAATACTACCTATTACAGGTTCAATGAATACATAAAGGATATATACTAGTATCTTTTTATTATTCTGGTATCTATTTTTTATATATCTACTATTAACCTAGTTTGCTATAGTTATTTGATAGATCTACTACTCTATAGAAACATATATACTAAAATTATCTTGAATTATACTAAATTTTTTCTATATAAAATTTGTATGAAATTCTGTATATAAATATACAGAATTAGGAGTGAATTCTGTATTACTTGATACAAACATTTATATGAAACTTTTTATTAATAATTTAAAAATATAATTGAGTATAAATTTTTTAGGAGTTTGCTATTTATTGCTACTGGTGATCATCACCAGTATTGCTATATCTCAAAAATGTATTAAATAAATAGGATCAGGTTTTCTAAGTAAAAATATTCAGAACTCTCAAAAACCTCATAAGAACTAAAATTAGGCCTTTATAGTAGCTCTATAATATATAAAAAAAACAATAATTCTTTAATTTCTAACTCTAACCCTAACAAATCTTAGGACTAGTGACTGGCGATAAATAGTAATTTTGAATTTTTATATATTTCATATAATTAAATATAAATTTTTTATATATTTTATATACAATAAATATAATTGAGTATAAATTTTTTATATATTTCATATATGTAATAATTATAATTAAGTATAAATTTTTTAAATATTCTATATATAATAAGTATAATTGAGTATAAATTTTTTATAAATTTTATATTTAATAAATATTATTAAATATAAATTTTTCTAAAAAAAAAATAATAGTAATAACAATAATATATATACAAAATATCTACAAATATAAACCAAAATAACAAAATATAACCAAATATAAAGGATAAGGTTGCTAAATTAAAATATTGGTTAATATTTTTTTTATATTCATAAAGAAATAAAAATTAACAAATATAAAAAATAAACATATAGTATATCAAAAAATCTTGAATATAATTAAAAAATTTTAATCACTATACTAACTATTATTGACTAAATTGTTGTATCTATTTGTTTAATTTTGAATAGAAAATAAATAATATTAACTTCTTTTTTTTATATAAATTCAGCAATCATGTCAAAACTTTATTAGATAAAATGCACTCAACTATACTATCTTGTGTGACTATTTAAAACTAAAACACTAGCTCTGAACATCTAAATTACAAGTTTTGACTAGCCCAGTTTTCACCTCCTTACATATTCTTTCTGCAATCAAAAGAATATATATATCAACAATAAGTACTACAACTCATCATAACTGCTAATTTCCTTAAGACCTTCTCTTCTTAATATCCAAGCAAGAGGATTTAGCAATTCTTGTCTCAAGAATAACAAGTATGCTAAAAAAAACTAAACTAATAAAAAATAGATAAAAAATAGGGGAAGATACTACAAAATCTAAATAAAAACCAAATAATAAAAGAAAGAAAAATAAAATAATAAAAAAAAGGGGAGGACAAAAAGAAAAAACAAAGATAAAGCAGCACCAGATATACCAATTCTGGGATAGTTTAAAAAATTATTTAATACTCTGTAAAACAATCATCACCTTTGCTTTACTTCGGTATTAAAATATGCTTTATATATAGGGAATACCAAATTTTTTTTGTTTACCCTAGTGATCTGAAACCAACAGGTTGCTATCATTTACATGTCCGTCTACAGTTTTCAGAGGTATAGTACGTGATTTCCTCGTGACTTGTCATCCCAATTTGGTGATATAAACAATGACGATCTTTAGTAGAAGATATGCCAAAATTCCTACTTTTTGGAATAAATTTTGAAAGAAATAGCAAAAAACTCAGCAGGAATATGGAAGGTGGTTTGCGAAGTCAGGTACTTTCAAAAATTTCAACGGAGTGTGTTGAAGTCCACAAATATTTGTTGTTTCCCTTGTGTTTTTGTTAACAGCCTAAGAGCTTTATTGACAAAAAAGACTTTGTCTCTTCACTAAAATTTTTTATACAAGAGCACCACCTGCCAGTTATCTTGTATAATAATGCTTCTGGTTTGCATGCCAAATGTCTTTTAGAGGAGTCTTGCAAATTTAGAAAACATTGACCTCTAGACAAACCACTACATAGACCATGACTCTCCAACAAAATTTGTGTTTTTCTTTAATAAGAAATTTTGATATGAGTAATCGTGGAGAAAAGTTGTATATAATATTAACTTCAAATAGCCTAATTATAAATAAAGATACTAAATAATATTAATATAATATATATATAGCATTAGTGTACAAATGAAAAAATAATACTAAGAACTATAGTATTAACAAAAATAAAACTTATAAAAAAATTACAAACTTAAAAAAAATCAATTAAATAACAACAATTCAACAATCTGAATAAAAAAATAAATAAGTGATTAGTAATAACCAATATACAATATTTATCAACAAGATTTTAACTAATTTTAACCCACAGTAACATCACCTATATTTATTATATTAGGCAATACAGGTGACCCTCATTAATATCAACCTATTTGAACCTGTTCTAAATCATGTTAATAGTGATATTAATGAGAGTTCATATTAAAGTTGATATATAAGAGGGAGTTTTAATATATAAAAATTCATAAAAATTTGGTTGTGGCTTAGGTTAATATTAATGAAGTTGATATTAACAGGGTCACGTATAATCTACATAATCTACATCTTATCAATTCTCTATTGCTATCTAATGCTTAACATATTATATTGTATATATCTAACTATTATATGGTAACAATAGACATTCTTCCAATATACTTAATAATTTAGATATTTGGATATCATGGAGCATAGTAACTGGTTTGCTTGCACTTTTTACACTTTTGTACTGCCTTTTCTAAAGTTAAGGCATTGGCATTTTGATTGTTATTCTTGTCTATTAGGCCTTTTTCTATACTGTTTTGGTTATTATATTGTATTTTTATGCCACTTTTGCTATTACTGTTCACTTCTTCACTGTGATTATATCACATCCCTATGCAATTTTAATCATAATGCAATATTTTATTTTGTGTTTTTTCGTTGCTTCAAACATTAATTTACTTATAAATTTATCTTGTACTTTCTTTTTTATAGGCTCTTCTCCGGATTTATACCTGTTTGGTTGTCTATCTTTATATATTACACATAGCGAATCACCAATAAGTATAGAGTTATAAATTTGTTTGTTGAATAATTCTTCTTTTGTTTTTCAATGAATCTCTTTATATAACTAACAAATTCAACCACTTTATCAGCCTTAATTGCCAAGTCAAGAGCTTTTTTTGCATATCCATACTGAAACTATATTGTTGTTTAGGTCCTTGTAGTTGTTTAGTATTAGATATCTTTTTAAACCTTACTAATTGTTGAAAAGAAAATGGTTCAGGCGAAAGTGATGTAGGTTTATTTCTTGCAATTTGGTATATTGGCATTTTTTGTTAATCAAATTAATTGCTTCTTTTGTACCAACGCTAGAGAATTAATAAGATATTGAACAATGCATTAACAGAGTAAGACATAACTTAAAAGAAATGTTGACATACTATTCCCTTGTTAATGAGTGAAAGGCAAGTATATAGATATGACCTATCATTAAGAAGAATTACATGTTGTGGTTCTAATTTTTGGCTGCAATGCCTAATTACTTTCCAAACTTCCTTGACTGAATTATGAGAAATATCTTCTAACAATGTGAAAATAAGGATTGTGGTTAGTTGTAATCATCTTCTCTGGCTATTTCCTGTTGATAGGAATTGTCTATAACCAAAGCCAAAGGAAATAAGATTTTATTGTTATTGTTGTTTTATTTTTTTTCTCTTTTAACTAACTTACAATCAAAACTTACTTCTAAGAGCAATTGCTAGTCAACAATTAAAAAGACATTATAACACAAAAATTGGGCTATTTGATCGCGGTGTTTTTAAGAATTTGTAGTGTAAGAAATTCCTGCAAAGTATTGTCAAGTTCAGGAAAATTATTTGTCCATTATGCTTGGTATCCTTCTTGTTAGGATTACATTTTTATATTCATTCAGGGTAGCTTTTTTTGATTGTTCATCAAATAACCATTGAACTTTATTAACAATATCAGTTAGGTGTGAGGCTCTATTTAATCCATCCTTGATTAATTTGTTGCATATTTTCACTTGTTGGGTGCTTTGAGCTCCAGTAGTAAAGTTTCGCTTAATAGAATGAATATAGAACTCTTTCAAGGTAGTTTTTACAAGATGGATATTCATTGATTAATGCATTCCATTTGACTTCGAACTTTCTAGAATATAAAATTCTACATTGTTAAAAATTTAGAGCGAAACATTTTAAACTGATCTTTTAATTTTCTTGAATTTTCTTTCTTAAATTTAGGTCTATATGGAAGATGCAATGAAAGTAATAAATTTCTAGATAATTCTTTTGTACTGCTGATAACATAGCAGAATCAGCATCAAAATAGAGAACTATTAGTGCAATGTCACAAGAATTTATTAATTCTTGAAGAACCCATACAAATATTGCTTCAGTCTTGTTTTTAAAAATTGCTGTAGCTACAATAAGATTCTGGAAATTGTTATCAATTACTATAATTAGCATTAAGATCATATTAAATTGGTTTGTCTTGGATATTGTATCAATGATAACAACATCATTATACATTCCATATGTGTTGACTTGGTCAGAAGACATTCAGAATAATGAATTTAACTTTCTTTCTTCTGGGTCAAAATAGAGTTTTACTATCCATCTTGAATCATTGTCTTTCTTTGAATCAACCCAGTAAGTATTTGGCATGCATCATTTTTGGTTAGTTTTATTTGTTTTTTAAATTTTTATATCACATTACTTAAGTTTTTTTATTGATTACTTTATATAGAAATGAAGCAACCAATAAATTATATTGGGTTGTTATATGAATCATCCAGAACTTTATCTTTTTAAGTATCTCATCAGTTAGTTTGCAAAACCTTAGTGCTACTTCATCAATATAAGAATTTATTTCATAGTTATGTTTTCCAATTATACTATTAACCCTAACACTATTAGTCATTTTAGAAAAAGTGAGATTAATATGCTATGAACATCCTATCATTTTTGAATCTCTCTCTCATCTATCCTCTACTAAAACAACTTTTTGAGCCTCATATATGTAAGAATATAAGTATTCATATGTTCGACTCTTGTAATAGTTTTATCAGCTGAATCTTGTGTATATCTTCTTTTACACAAACTAAAACCTTCTTGTTTAGTGTAATCATCAAGATAACTTTCAGCAATTTTTCATGTTCCAAAGTTTAACTCTTTATTCAATACTAATAGTTTTATTTGCTCCTCATATTCACTATTATCTGATTTATCACCGCTTTGTTAACCATCATTATCATGAATTTCTTGTTGACCATTGTTACCATGAATTTCTTGTTAACTATCATCACTATGAATTTCTTGTTAAGTTTCATTATGCTCTTCTATTTGAGTTTCATTAATTGTATTATTGTCACAAGCACTATATTGAAAGTCATAATACTCAAACAATTCATTGTCAGCATCTATATTATCTAGTTGAATATTATGAGCATTATATTGAAAGTCAGATGAGGTATGGTCATAAAGAATTCCTGAGATATGCGAAGATTTAAATGAAACATCATAGTAAGAATGCTCTATTATAAAGGTAATGGTTTTATTAAATATAAATCTGATAACATAGTTGTAGGAAGCACTAACAGTTTGACTGTTTTTTGTTCTTTTTATTTATAAGATATTGAAATAGTATTGTTTCTTGAGCCTTGTAATGTGCAAATATAGATGTATGTATATATGTTTGTGTCTCTTTATACTAAAACTTTTTTTTTTTGTCTTTTATTTATTACATATATAATATCTGCTCATTTAACTCAAACATACTTTTAATTAATATTATATCATTATATCGTATCACTTCTGTTTATTATGGTTTAATTAATTAATCATTTATTATTTTATTTTATATTATATATGTAACATCTACTTATTTAACTTACATGTACTTTTTAATCTATTACATATATATTTTCCATATATTTTTAATTAACATTACATCATATCTACTTTTCCATCTTATTTATTTTTATATTTCAATATACTTATATTTCCATGCATTATTTATGTTGTCACCCCACATTCTTTATGATCCTACACAATTTTAATTATGATTTATGTCATATAAGTACCGCCAATAGAACACTGATTTCAGGTTTTCTGATTTATAACTTAGTGGACTTGGTACTGACCAATAATATACATAATAATACATAATTAATTTAAGCTTTATTACTAATTGAATCCAATTTCGAATTAAATACAAAGGTCATTTTAGTATAAGATTGTTATAGTCCTATAAATAGCTAGAGTTAGATATTAGGAGACATATATTAGAATATAAGTGTGTATAGTATATATGTTTTTGTTTTTATGTTCAGTATTAGAATTAGGTACTGTATAAGTGTAAAATAATATGTAGGAGCATTATTTTGAATAATGGCCAGAATTAGGTTTAATTTAGGCCAAATTTTGAAACTACACCTTTGTGCATCTTATACAGTATATAATAAATTTGTATATTTATATTATTGAGTTATTTCACCTATAGTAGGTGATTTCACCCCAATAGTAGGTGATTTTACCCCAATAGCAGGTGAATTCACTATATGATTTTACTTGGATAACATAACCCCGGAGGCAAGTTAGCAAAATTCTATAAACAATACTAGTTGTAAATCTGTGCAATAATGTATAGAAAAAAATTAAATTTAAAATAATTATATATTGTATATAAAGTTTAATTTATTTTATATCAGCAAAATATATTAATGTAAACTTATATAAGTTATTATGCTGTGAAATATTGTACAATAATTATGGTTTAGACGAAATATTGCACGATAAATTACTAAATATTACACAATATATAATGTAATATTATGAAATATATTATATAATATTATAAAATTTATAATGTAATATTACATTATATATTGTGCAATATTTCAAATTAATTCAAAACAATTTGAAATAGATATAAATACGTCAAAACAGCAAACTATTTATAAACTAAAAAAGATAGCTACTAATGAGTAAGAAAAGCTAATCAATTTAAATTTATCAAATACTATTCAAAATATTATAAAAATTTTTGAATTAAATCGAACTAAATTAAATAAAAAATATAAATAATAGATAATATATTTAAATGCAATAATTATATAATTTATTAGATATTTTCAAATTATTTCAAAATAAACTAAATTTATAACCTTTATTTAAATAAACAAAATATAAATTTTATAACTTAAAATATATTTTATTAATAACTTTAGAGAATTACTACGTTTAACCAAGAGAATTTTCCAGGGGAAATTTTCTAGTGGTACAATATACAGGAGCTACGTATGCATAATCTCAAATAAGAGAATTACTACATTTAACTGGGAGAATTTCCCAGAGGAAAATTTCCTGGTGATACAATAAACATTGAAAGATAGTATAGTGTTTGCTGATTCAAGAAAGTTTAACATAATTAAACTATCAAAATTTGATTTAACTAATTTGAAATAAATTGGCACATTCAAATATATATATATGTATAAGATCGACACTCATCATAAAACCTTATTTGTAATTTTCTATTACAAAATGCCTAAAGCAATAAACAAGATAGTATTGACCGATAAAGATGAAGTTTAAATATATTTAGTGTGCAAAATTTTTTAACTCACCTATTTGACAATCAACTGATATACTGTATATATCTGATAAAAGACAAGTTTCGTATGCCTCTAGATTGCTGTTTTTTATTATAAGAGGTTCAAAGATAGTAAACTATATAGTGTTGACTTATATACAAAGGTAAGAGTTTAAGTATATCTAAGATGTTGCAATTTTTTTAACCTCACGCCAATTTAATTATTGATGATTATAATTTCACTATCATAAAAATTTGGAAGGTTGAATTTTTAATGTATTAAATATACACTCATTGTTAACATAATAGATCCGTTACAATTCAAGGAAAATGGCGAAGGAAGTAGTATTAGTTTAAGAGATAATAATTAAACACAATTTTTTTTTGAAAATAACTTAACTGAGCCTGAAATGATTGCATAATTTTTATTTGAAAATAACTTAACTAGAATAGAACTGCCTTCTATAAGCTCACCCTATGAGTCTAAAACAATTGTGTAATTTTTATTTGAAAATAACTTAACTGGAATGGACTTGTCTTCTATAAGCTCACCCTATGAGCCTGAAACAATTGAAGTATTCGATAAAAACTCTTCTAACAAAGAGAATGAAGAACTAGCATCAAAAATTTATGAAGGCCAAACATTTCAAACATGAAATGATGTTGAGACTTTTTTAAAAAGATACGGCCTAGAACAAGGCTATTGTATTTGAAAAAAATGTTGTAAATTATATCTTGAGGATAGTAAACAAGTTATATGTAAAATTAACTGGAAGTGTAGTTGTGCTGGTAATTACCAGCCCAAAAAAGTTTTAGATTCAAAAGACCAATGAGATCATAAATCAAAATGTACTGGATATAAATAGCATGTTAATGAAAATATATCTAAATTATCACCTATAACTATATTTACAACAGTTGTTAATTCACATAACCACCCACTATCATCTGCATTATTAATCACAATTTCAAATTACTGTAAATTAGGTGAATATATGCTAGAGTTCATTAATTTTTGTATAACACATAATACAACTGGGGCACGGAAGATTAAGCAACTTCTAAAAGGTAAATTTCCAGGTCAAAAAATATATAAAAAAAATTTATATAATGCAATTCAGAAGGCAAAAAGAAAATACTTGTTAGATAGTAAATTAGATGCATTGAATCTTATATTGCATATGTACAATCTCAAAACTAGTAACCCTAGATGGTTCATAGAAGCTAGATTTGATAGCTCTGAACAAAGACTATGTAGTCTTATTTTTCTTTCCCCTGAACAGCAGTGTCTTTGAATAAGGTTTTATATTATTTTCTTTGATACTACATTATATAGTAACAAATATAACATAGTTGTATGCTTCTTCGTAGCCATTAATAATTGTAACTATACTCATCTAGTTGCTACAGCTTTATTAGAGGATGAAACTGAAGAGAGTTTTACTTGGGCCCTTCAAATAATTAATAAATATACTAGTAATTTGGCACTATGAGTAATTTATACAGATTCTAATCTGGCAATGTCAAATGCAATTTTAACTGCATTTCCAGGATCTTTACATTGTTTATGTTTGTTTCATATTAATTTTAATTTAAAGAAAAATCTAAGAAACAAAATGAACACAGCTCAATTTAATGAATTTCTTAAGGATTTTTACACATGCCGTAAATACAATAATAATTGATATTTTTAAAAGAAGTCTAAATATGCAGCTGCTAACAGTTATATTAAATGTTAACTTGAACCTTGCAAAAAGAAATGAGCAGTCTGTTATATTAATAATCAATTTATCGCAGGGGCAAATAGTACACAACGGATTAAAAGTTTTAATAAAAAAATTTATGATTGTGTCAGGACAAATTCTTCTTTAATGACTCTTGTTAAGAAAATTTAAAATCTGCTTGATCAAGAATCTGAATATATATGAGTTGAAGAGTATAAATGGCAAATACTAATGGTTGGAGTTGCGACTATACCAAAAACTTTTTTTAATTCTTTGAATATTATTGTAAATGAATACTTAACAGAACTAGCATCAATATACATTCGTAAACAAATACAAGAATGTTTTTTTTATAATGCTTATAAGCTTAATCATTTTAATTGAAACTTAATTGAAAAAGTATGCTATTTAATTAACAAGATGCCATTGGGCATTTTTTATTAGTCTATTTTTATAGCTTATTTTACATACTAAATATACATTTCTCTCTCTCATTTCACTTTTATTATTATTTTTTATTTTATTTAAATACACTCAGATGATAATGTAAATGACATGAATTAATACAAGTTTTACTAACAGATATTCTGAAGATAATTGAAA